GGGATAAGGTCCTAAGGCTGCATCTACACTGTAGAATTAATGCAGTTTGACACGACTTTAACTACCATGGCTCAATGCAATGGAATTCTGGGATTTGTAGTTTGTGAGACATTTAGCCTTCTTTGGCAAGAGCTCTGGTGCCAAACAAACTACAAATCCCAGGATGCCATAGGATAGAGCCATGGAAATTAAAGCAGTGTCAATCTGCATTGATTCTGCAGTGTGGCAGTAGCCAAAGAGTGTAAATTCTAGGAAACTCAAGTTGTTGTAGCACTTACATCTTTTTGTCTCCAAACTCTGCCCCTACTGCTCAATACCCAGATGTATGGGGAAGCTGGGTTACCCCTTTTACTATTTCTGCTTTGTTGTTGTGCACCTTCAAGTTGTTTCTGACTCATGGCAACCCTGTCACAGGGGTTTCTTGGCAAGATTTGTTCAGAGAGTGTTTGCCTTTGCTTTTCCTCTGAGGCTGAGTGAATGTGTCTTGCCCAAGGTCACCCAGTGGGTTTCCATGGCCAAGTCGGGAATTGAACCCTAGTCTCTAATCATAGTCCAACACTCAAACCACTACACCATGCTGGCTCTAGATCACACAAATGGTGGCAGCTCCATGCCCAGACTCATACAGAGCAACTGGTTCGTCCAACTGGTGCCTTCTTGACTGGGCCACAGCAGGACTGTGTGTTACTGCAGGTTTTCCCATGGGACCCAAGAAGCATCAGAACTATCCCAGTGTTACTGGAGAGGTTACAACTTGGTAATTTATAGATTATGGCATTGGTTTATTAAGATTTGGAAATGCTAGTCTTCTGTTTTCTCTTTCATGGCTGGCATAACATTTCTATTTATCAACTGTAAAGTTGTTCTATCATCTACTAATTGCTGAATTAGATTGGAAGTTTAAATGCAATTTTATTAGCATTATAAGAGAATGAAATGACTTTCTGATTTTCAGACAACAGGTCATATGCCCAAGTAGCATGGAAACAGTGTAAGGAAAAGATGATGACTCAGATGATGATATAAATTGTTACTAATTCATATTTATAAAGCTATTTATATAAGTTTTACTCTGTCACTTTTTATCAGCCCAACAACTTTGTTGTTTCACCATATCAAATATGGCACATCATTTAGAAGTGAATACAATGGTTTCTGTTCAGTCTTCTGTACATCTCATGGAACTTTCAAGTTATAAAAATATTTTTAAAAAGACATGGTAGTCAATGCTGTGGACCATTAAGGGCTTGGTGGCTCTTTAAAGGTTTGTTGATACCTCACTTCCCTGCTCCTTTCGACAATGTGGAAAAGCTGCAGACTCCTTACTATCCCAAGTTCAAGACAAAGTGGAAGACAATCAGGTATACACATGATATCATTGACTGCAGCATTTGTATCTAAATTAAATGAAGTTAATACTGAATGCAGGTTCAATCCTACCAAGAGGCAGAGAAAGAAGTATGCACCAGGCAGAAAATTTTGGCTGTCATGAAGGGATAGCAAATAGTTACTTGTTTTAGTTAGTTAATATAGCTATATCTAGAAATGGGGAGAGATGCTTGTGAGATTGTCTACATTTGTCAAAATAACTTGACTGACTCTGAGTACTATGCCTTTTGATGGGAGGGGGCACCATTTGCTGCTTCTCCTCTGGAAGCAAAATAGCTTGGTGAACCCTAACAAGATGAAAAATATGAAAAGGGAGGAATAGGGCATTATGGTAAGGTTGTAAACTGAATTTGGTGCATACAGCTGGGCTAGCCATAGCAGACCATTTCCATGAAAGTCCTTCTCCAACTCCCAGAAAATGTTACACAGGGGCCGTTCATACTACATTATAACTCAGTTTGCAAACCGGTTTAAAAGTGGGTAGTTCACACTGGCGCCGGGTTTTGCACACCCAAATAGGGGTGGACCTGGGGCAAATCCCCGTCATTTCAGGTTTTCCAATATTGAGTCCTGGGGGGAAAAGGGTTTTGTCAGGATGTTGCCAATGTGAACTTGCCTCCGATCCTATCTGGGGCTTCCTGAATGGAGGGATTAATGGCCAGAGGGTGGGCAGAGGGGAAGAACATGCCTATCCCCTCTCATAGGTCGGAGTGCATGGCAAGCACAATTTTGTGCTTACTGACTCCATGAAAAACGAGCCCTACCATTCATCACCCTCTCTGGCACCTACATGGCGGAAGTAGAGAAGGAGTGAGCAATTTAAGAACAAAAAAGTATATATATCCCCCTTTCCTCCACCTTCTCTTTGCAAAAACCTGAGCAATGAATAACTCCAACGATGAAGCCGGAAAAACGAGAATAAGGGGAATTTTGGTTGGTGGGTTTTTTGTTTTTTTTAAAAAAAAGAAATTGTCCAAGCTGGCGAAGGAAAGTCTTTTGGTGTTGTATTTTTTAAAAATTTATTTGACAGAAAGTATGAACCTTTGCGTTTCCATGTCTTCAATGCATGGTGATTTTATTCTCCAGTCTGAGGCTGGCAGGGGGGGAATCCCCCCAAGAAGAAGCTCTCAGAGTGGTTTCATGGCAAGGGACCCTCCGAGAGGCTTCCCCTCCCCATCCTCTGAGGATGAGAGGTGTTTGCCCAAACAGTGTGATGTCGATGCACATAATTTGATTGTTAGAACAAACAAACAAACAAACAAACAAAACCCTGAAAATGATTGAATGTGATCAATAAGGAGACTCAATTTTTAATCAGTACTTTGGTCAGTGTGAATTCGACAGGGTTAAATTGCACCAGAGAGATTCGATGGAGTAAATGTAGTGTGAACTTCTATTCGGGTCAGATTCGGTATTAAATCAACAAATCTGTCCAGATCTATCCAGCACAAAAGCAAGTGTGAATGGGGCCACAGAGGGCTCTAGCCATGGTTGGGCAAAATGAGGCCATTGCTTCCCCAAATAAGAATTTTGTCCCTCCCCCATGAAATGTTCCTTCAGTATCCAAATTTCTATCATTGCAGGAAATTAAAACTTCAGTTGACCATTTAGAAATATAGTACAGTTTAGGGACCCAAAGAAAAGGAGAAGGCAAAGGGGCCAGGGGTATTTTGTGAACACAGCAAATAGATGGCTTCTAGGTGTGAGCAATTTGTAGCGTCTAACTCTTTGCACCGCTAGACATCTGGAGACTGAAGGAAATTTTCATGGGGGGGGGGGAGAATTCTAGTTAGGGGATTCAAAACCCTCATTTTGCTCCTTGCTATGCCTCTGCTACAAAGAGGATGGGGGTCTTTCTGGAAAGCTGTGGTATGCCTTCCTCTGAAATATACAATCTCCCAAACTACATTCTGCTTATCATGACACCTCAGCACCTTCCTCAAAACCAAATAGAGGCACCTTCCATGATCACAGGAACTCTTCCATCCATAGAAGACAAGGCCTGAATTCAAACCAGGCATTGTAAAATAGCCATGGTTACCTTGTATCATATTCAATAATAACATCTCCAGTTTAAACTGCAATTCTATACCCAATATTTCCCTTATAGTATTCTTTATTCTCTCCCAAAACTTTTGTGCTTCTGCACACTCCCACCATAAGTGAAAGAATATTCCTTTTTCCTTCCCACATTTCCAACATTTATTGTCAACATGATTATATATTTTGCTTAATTTATCCGGTGAGAGGTGCCATCTATATAAAATCTTGTAAAAATTTTCTTTTATATCCTGACAAGCTGTATACCTCATCCTTGTTTTCCAGGATTTCTCACATTGCTCTAGTTCCAAAGCTTTTCCACAATTTTTCACCCAACTAATCATGTTTTCTTTTATCAATTCTTCCTCAGTGTATATTTCTAACAGTTTCTTATCTATACCTGAAATCTTGCTAAGTTTTCCATCCCATATAATCTTTTCTAGATCAGATTTCTTATTTGTTATACCCACTTCCTTTATATCTTTTTAAAATCTAGAATTAATTTGATGGTATAGATGGTTATTCTTGAATATGATACAAGATAAAATAGAAAAATTATATGGTAAGACTATTTTTTATATGTTAACTGCTGCTAGAATTGTATTCGCAAGGTATTGAAAAATTAAGAAAACTGTAGACATAGAAGAGTGGTTAATAAAAATCATAGATATGATGGAGACAGATATATTAACTAGGAAACTAAATGGAGAAGAGAAGAGACAAGAGAAAGATGAATGGAAAGAAGTAATAAAATTCATGAAAAGAAAATGGCCGAATCTCCTGATTGAAGCCTACATTACAACGGAATGAAGATTGAAGAAGATTAAGTGTAGATGTACTAATATGCTAAATATATATTATACATTATATATGATGTACAAATAAACTTGATAAATACATAGAAAATTTTAGTTAGGATATATATTTAAGGGAATGTATGCATAAGATATAATATATATTGTTTGATTTGTAATAATCTGCCAGGTAAACAGGGATAAATAATTTAGGAATGAAATATCAGATAAACAGGAAGATACAGGAATAAAAATAAAAAGAAATTGGCTGAAAAATGAAAGAAATAAAGGAAGTCTTTTTTCCCCCTTTTCTTTCTTTTTTGTTTTTAATGTCAGTAGTAAGTGAGGAGGATGCAAGATGTCTATGTAGTAGTCATTGTTAGATGTTAATAATTTGTGTTACTGTTATTGTATATATGTTAATGTGAGTATAAAAATGTATATTTTTGTGTTAATAAAAATGTATATATATATATATAGCCATGGTTACCTGCTGCTAAGAGAAATGTCAGGTAGGATTAACAAGATGTCTGGGTCAATGGCACAAATTCAT